GAGTTGTCTGTCTTGATTCGCAGCCCTTCTTGCTTGTGTTCACTTGCCATGTGGCTGTCTCCAGAGTTTGTGAATAACCTGGTGGCAGTGCTCAACGTCCTCGCCTCCCAAGTTGCCACTGCCCTGGACACCCTGATCCCCGGATGCCTCCCAGAGCACCACGTAATTCAAGACATGGACTACGTCCACGCATCATCACGCAGCGCATCTCGTCCGATCGGTCTCGCACTCCCACCCGCGCCAGAACTCGGCCTGTGGATACTTCTTCTACCTGGTATATACCTGCACTATCACCTCATCGTGAAGCACGCCGGGAAGCTCAAGGAAGCAACCCTGGTCAACGCCCAGAGACTCTGGTGGACCGGTTACCATCACCAAGACCTCTCGCTCCTATTGCCGCACGCAACGATCGCGCTCCGGGGCATGCTTCGTCTACTACGCCTGATTCGGATTCGGACGGTTCAGTCCGTCCACATCCTGGTGCTTCTTCGTTCCGTCCATCGCCGACGGTCGTCCATGGACCTCGTGAACTTCTGCAGGAATTCACCATTGCCCTCCGCAATGCTTATCTCGAACCTACAAGACTATCGCCCGCTTTCTTCAGAAACCCATTGAGGAAGTCAAGCAGGCATGGAAGGTCTACCAGCGACTGGAGGCTCGCGGTTAGATGACTTTGCAATCTTGGAGCCGTCAAAATTCTTTTCGAGTGGTGGTGCATTGCGTTGACCTTGTTGTTGTCTTGCCTTGTTTTGCGGACATGAGTGTTCAAATCACGCTGGAGCAAAATGTGCAGACATTCATAACTTGGACCCATGGAGCGCAGCCGACGTGGTTACAGTATCACGGACCAAATCACCCGGCCGGTACATTGCTTGACAGACCATTTCGATTGACGGCACCACCTCCACCTCCACCACAACTACTACTTCCTCCTCCTCCTCCACCACCACCACCGCCACCGATGATGCTTCATCCACAGTTCTTGCCCTCATTGCGACCTTCCTCTACCCCTTCTCCCCGAGGACAGTCATGCCGGGCTACTATGGTCTCTGAGCGCACACGCCGCTCAGTTTGCAGAGCTGACCAATCTCATGCTGAAGATCACCGCAGTCTCACGCGTTCCCCGAAACGCGCTCGAACCACATCAATCTCTGATGAGCGTTATTCTCGGCGGCCCTTCACTGTGTTCACTCCGAAAAGGGCTACTCGTGCAACACGGTCCAGAACCACAAAATGCAAGCATTACTGCCACGCCTTCCTACCTCATGGACGGAAATGTCTTTCTCCCTGTGTGCGACGTCAACCAGGACATTTCCATTGCAGATGCGCGCGTCACAAGCGGCGGTGAAACATTGTCGCAGTACACTACAGACTTTGCTGATTCAACCAGTCTTCAGTTTGAAAAGTTGTTATGCATTGCATTGCTTGCTGATTGTACATAGTGTACATGTTGGCCATTTCATACCGCAGAACCCTTGGCTTCATCTGCCCTTGCAACTGTGACATAGCGACTCACTCGGTTGTCATGTTGCCACGCTACTTTGAGTACCACATTGAGCGAGGCGTGGAATGGATTCGGGTTTACACACCGGGTATGTGGCAGCCTGTGGCGGAATCCACCTTGGGCCCAACTCCGGACCGAGCTTCCACGTATCGCGAATGGCGCAGGGTCTACCACTTTGACGTGCACTTACCCCGTGACAGTACTGGAGGCACCACTGCGGACCCGAATGTTACGCGTCTCCTACGCGTCCTATTACATATGGCAATTCCGGGATTGGCACTCGCGTGGTTATCAACGGCTTGGTGTCCCACGTACATACATTGGATCGACAGATTTCGTGTCTGATGGAGTTTCGTCCTCTTCGGCGTCTTCAGTTCCAGATGGCGTGTGGCGTGAACCTTCTCCCCCACCTAGCTATGATCCCAATTTTGATTGGAACGAGTGAGATTGATGCTTGGACGGAATGTCGGTCAACACATTGCGCCTGTTGAGTTTTCCATCTTGAGCGCTTTGCTTACGACCTTTTGATTGATTGCTTCCATTCTGTCATTGCTGCTGGAAACATGCGGTGACATTGAGATTTCTGCGCGCTAACATTGTCCGACTCGCTTGCTGCTTGACCTTTGGTTGCCTTGCCTTGTGTTGTATTATCTCCATGTTCATGCTTTCGCAGACTTCTTTTATCTCATATAGGCCGATTCGGCTGTTATGTTCAATTCGACAATATTTGGCACTGACAGATGGGCCGTCTCGCGCTACTTTGAGTATATGACATCGTGAATGGCCTTGCAAACACAAGAGTTGAATGGATTCGAGTTTATGCACCAGGTCCGTGGCAACCTATCGCTGATTCCACTTTGGGACCAACTCCGGATAGCACATCAACCTATCGAGAATGGCGCAGGTTCTACCACTTCGAAGTGTATTGGCCTCGTGACAGCACGGGAGGCACAACACTGGATTCTTTCTCCCAGCCGGTCTCCTATACGTCCTTTTACACATGGCAATATCGTGACTGGCACACCAGAGGATACCAAAGACTTGGCAATCCGCACCCGAACATTGCGCGGCCAGTTTTCCCTTCGAGATCACCTGACCTCACGCACGCTCGATTGTCTTCTTCGTCAACATCCTTGGTCTCAGATGGTGATTGACGACCTTCCTCACCTCCCTATGATCTTGAATTTGTTTGGAGTGAGCGGCATGAAACCTATGTCGCGTCTGGCTACAAACCGCCGCGGTCGATGCTTCGTGCGCTGTGAGTGTTGGATTGATTGTTTTGCGGTTGACTGGCATGTTTGGTGTCACATGGCTTGAAGGGTTCGTTGCCTGCAGCCGTGCTTTTCTCGGTCGCGCATCTAGGCTTTGAGTTGTCATGCCGTGGCTGGAGTGGTGCCCGGATCCTCAGCAACCCGGTGCTCAATGGGTCAAGATTTTTCATCCGGGATCCTGGACACCACAAGACGAACGTGATGATCCGCCTCCGCGCCACACATACAGAGAGTGGAAGGAGCTTCAGGATCCAAACCTGCACCATGACGAACACCAGCCCACCAGACGCACTTGGTACAAGAGGGACTGGACCACAGAGCTACCGGCGTGTTGCAGCTTCTGAAGCTGTTCAAGACTTCAGCCCAATGTTTCCTCATCAACATAGCGTGGCCACGCAATCATCGGCTTTGTGTATGTCTCCGCAGATGTTGAATGCGATTCTTCGATCTTCGGATGCTTCGGCTTTCTCTACTGAAGATCTCACTCGTCTTCAAGCAGGGATCTGTCAGCAGCTGCCGGATCGCGCGCGTCAAGAGTCCCACCAACCAGTACGTACTTCTCGGGGCGTTGAGCCACCTGAGTCTATTGGGGTCGCCGATCCATATCTGCCTTCAAGCCAACCAAGCAGCTCTGCCACCAAGGAGAAGCCTATCTTCGAGCTAGTTACTGAGTAGAATGATGAGTTTTGACCGGGGTACAAAATGGTGCTTTCACGTTCTCTTGCTTTCATGGGTGCTTGTTGGTTGTGCATGGTTGTGCGTGGTGACTGTCTCTTTGTTAGATTGGAACCTGTGGTGCGCCCTATCTTCCCCTTCGACATGGATGCAGATGATGCAACTCGTGAGTGGAAACGGGTGACCAATCCAGATGAAGAGACTCATGAACCAGGCCAAGCATGGACTATTCGAGATTGGCAACATCAAGGATATCAACGGATATTGTCCCGCTATGAGTCTTTCTCCACCCATCATGCTCCGGATCAAGCACTTATTGACGTGCAAAATCCGGACATGATCCAGGTCGAGGAGATGTTCACCTATGCCCCTCCCATTTCTGACGGTGATCGCCCGACAGCTTTGCAGCTTCCGCCTGTCTTCTATGGCGGCACACGTCTTGCTCATCTTGGAGATCTTTCGCCCCCGTCTTCTGAGCGGCCTCGTGCGGAGCGTGCAGTTTCGCGCTCTCCCCGACGCAGTGGATTTTTGGTAGACGTTAGAATTGATGAGCCAATTGCGTGATCTTCCGGCTGGAACAAAAGATTTTCGCCCCTCACTGAGGGGCGTGTGTGTGCGGAGTGACAACAGTTTCTTGCACAGGGGGGCCACCCGCAGTCACGACCGGTGACCCAACGAAGAGGGTCGTGACCTGCGCTGATATCTGGCCTGATCAGCCAGACGTACCTGGCGAGATGATGGTGTTGTTCTGAACGTCCTTTTGGTCCCCCCTTGAACCGCTGTTGCTTCCTTGTTTCCCTGTTCAAGTAACTAGAGTGAAGCTGAGTGACCTGCCAGCCGAAACTTATCCGAGTTGTACTCGAGACTCATCAGTTGTACTCGAGCCTCATCAGTTGTACTCGAGCCTCATCAGTTGCACTCGAAAGATTAGAACCCTCCATCTGGAGTCTAAGTGTGTGTCTTTGTTAGGAACCCCCCCACCCCAAACCGGCGGTTGTCCTTTTCGTCGTCCTTTATTACCCCCCAAAAAAAGGAAGGTACCGAACCTCAACCAAAAACAACGAAGCAATTACCCCTTCCCACCCCCGCTTCGGTGGGTGCCCCTGCCATGCTCCTAGACCGAACAAAAGAACGTAGCTCTTTGGAAAAACTCGAGGACAAGACCCAGAGAAGTCGGCCTCAACACGCGCCTCAAGTCCGGCAAAGGCTTCGCTTCGCCACGGAATCGACTCGACGAGTTCGTTGCGAATCCCCCCAAAAAGTGTTTCCCCAAAAAGACAAATCCAAATGCCCAAACTCAACGAATCCCCAAAAATCATGTCGTTCCCCCCCTCCGAAAAGGAAAAAAAAGGTCATGTTTCCCCACGAAAAACAAACCCTTGAAATGCCTTCAGATGCCAACCAAACCAGCCAAAAAGAAAGCCCCCCCCCCCAGAAGCAGAAAAGAACAAAAGTAGGTGCTCCTAAAAAAGAAAATGCCAAAGAGGTCGTGTCTCCTCCGAAACGAAACACAAAACAAGCCCGGCACTCACATTTTTCATCGAAGGCGCGGAGCTGCACGGAGCGCAGGATGGAGGCGAAGGGCGTGACGCCGATGCCGGCGCCCACCACCATCAAGGTGTCGAAGCCCCAGACCTGGCAAAACAAATCGACGAAAGTCAGTGTGGATTCATGTATATATATATATATGTATATATAATTGTATACAGTGTATATGGTATGCTGTATATATATATATATATGTTGTATATATATATATAGTATTAAACATATATGTATATATATACATACATAACTTCGTAATAACATGTTCACATATATCAATATGTACCATACAAATTACTACACCATTTTTATTACTATGATTATGGCTCTTCTTAGCATTATCCTTAATATCAATGATTATGTGTATCATCAATGTTCATTGATGTTTACTTCCATTGTTTACTAACTTGTTCATGTTTATCATTATTGCTATTCTGATTATTACTACTACTATTGCTTCCATAATATGTTAACCGTAGCGTGTGGAAACCTGATGCAAACCAAATTTTACGAAAGGTGTCGAAGCCCCAGACCAGGCGATTTGGACCCAAGAAATGGGGCCCAGTTGTGGTTTCCCCTTAAGCCAGCCTGCAAATCTTAGCATACTCAAATCTTCAGGATTCCTTGTTTGGTGGAACCTGCGAGCTTGAACAGGCCCTTCATCAATCTTGGCTTCCTTACTACACCGCTCCAAGTTATAGCTCCATCTAAATCCCAAATCATATGGCACCCTTATATAAATGCTCACTTCCTGAGTGGATTGGCCAAAAAGAAAGACACCGCACGTGTCATTTACCACTATAAACAGGCCACCAAACCCCCAAAAGTGACAATGTCTGAGTCCGAAACGGGGGCCCTCGAGCAGAAGGACCCTAGCTTTCACGGGGGCCCAAGGAGGCATCCTCTTAGGGCCTATGCCCAAAGCTTCGGAGAGCGCCAGGTACGTGTGTGTCTCTCCCCAAAAAAGGGAGTCGGGGCGGTATGTGTTTAAAGGCGCCAGAAGGAAAACATCCAAAGGAGTTTGTCCAATTTTGAGAAATACCTAATAAAATGGTGGGGGAGGGGGATGAATAGGATCCTCATGTTCCCCACATTCTATCTATAGGGTACCAAGTATAATGTGGCCGGAGCAAAGCTGTTCTCCAGCCTATGTCGCACGCCTGGCGCGGACGACTCAAAAGAGCGTGGATCAGGACCAGGAGAGCTTTTTCAGCGCGACCCTGGGGTTGATGAAGTCATAAAGCTGCACGACCAGAGGACCGCTGAAATCGCCAGCCCGCTTATAGGACATCTCGGGCCGTTGCTTGCCATTTAGCGTCACCAACCATGCCTGGTCGCTCAGCTCCAAGTCCAGTACAAAGGCTTTGTGGGCGTTTTCCATCTTCCATGGCTCAGGAATTGGGACATCCTTCTCCTTACCCCAGCCAGAACCTTTGAGAAAAATGTTGATCGCAATGTATCCACCACCTCGCGGGCGTGGGTTGAAGTGCAACAAGCGAGAGGGCTCTGAGCTGCCTTTTTTGGTGACCCAATGCCGGCCATCTCCATTCCACACGTTCAGGTACCATCCCCATACGGCAATCGGACTGTCCTTGGAGTTGAAGCCATCCGCCTCCACCCTCAGCACATCCCCTGACTGCAGCAGGCCGACGTCGCTCCATGCAGAATCGATCTCATTGGGGAAGCCTGGACCCAGCTGCGTCTTCTGCCAATCTAGCGGCAATGGTCGCCACGAGGGCGCAACGGTCACGGGTGCAACAGTCGCTGGTGCAGTGGTCGCTGCTGCTTGCTGCTGATCAATCGACTGTTCGCTCAGCGCATCTTGAACATCTTGCACACGAGCAGCTGACCAGGATCCGGCCAGCCAGCGCTCAAAAGATGCACCACTGCCCAGCTGCACTAAGAACAGCAAAATACAAGTGCAAATGCCTGCTGCGAGAACGTGGCTTCTCCTGAGCACAAAACAACATTTTCGCCGCCTCCTGCTCGCCTTGCCGCAGCAAAACGCTCCACATTGGCAAGGTGCATGAAGCCACACCCCAAACATTTGAAGGCTCAAGCCTTATGTCTTCTCTCTTCAAAGGGTTGACATCTACAAACCGTCCTACTGGTACAACGAGTGTTTCTTCTCAAGCTCGCTACACTTGGTGTGGGAATTGCTACATGTCATGTGCAGCCTGCAAGCAGTTTGATGGGCCTACGTAATTGGAATGCACTCGAGCGGGTCTGTTAGCAAGTCGTAGTTTTGTGCGTCCGAAGTCAGAGTTTCTGCCGAGGAAAACGGCGACTTGAGCACAAAGCGGCACAAGTCTCATTCCGTGACACCGCCCGACTGCCTGGCAAAATGAGGAGCCCGGTGAAGAATTGCTGCTATCTCAAGCTTTGCAACTGTTCATCCCCAGAGTCTCACCAAACAAAGACGTAACTCTATTTAACCATGATCCGTCGTGAGGGATCTGGTTGGCCTACAGGGTCTGAACAAAAATCGGAAACAACAAATCACAACAAATCCCAGTGTCAAAAAAGAAATGCCTCCCAGAACCAACCATTGATTGGAAAATATGTGGGGGAAAATGCCCATGGGAAAAAATGTCCTTGGCCTTTTGTTGAAGCTCCAAGGCTGCCCATTTTGGGGCTGGGGCCCGGTATGACATTTCATGACCCTGAATCAACCAGTTCATTCATTCATGTGGGGGGTGGGTTTTTGGGGTTCCCCTCAAGTCTGAATCCAACCACATGTCAGAAATGGACAGCCCTATGCATATACTGGTTGGTGTATTACTCTGGGGTCAACAGTACAAGTCCAAACCTAGCCAGAACCCCAACTGGCCCATTGACTCAAAAGAAACAACAAACACACGGAAACGCACGCGGGACCCGGGTTCAAATCGCCACGCTCCACATCAATTCAGGCATAGGTTTTCGGAAAATAGATGGCCCTGGTACATGGCATAAAACCCATCTAAACCCGTGCCATCTATTCACCAAACTAACCTAAAAGGACACCTCTGAATTCAGGCTTGCCTAGATCCAGCTCCAGGCTGGCTCGTGTCCCGATAAATCTCCAAACCCGGCAGTCAGAGAAACCAAGCAAGCGAGAACCTCCCAGAAACAGAAACCACCCACAACCCCCCAGAACCCCCCCCCCAAAAAAAAAAGGGACACCCCATGCAGACCCCCCTGTCCCCTCCTCCCCTCCTTCCCCGCCTTCTGCGCGGGAGCGCCGAAGGGCCCCGTCACCTGCAGCACCACCGCCTCCTCCGGCAGCATCCCCGGCGCCGGGCGGCTGATCATCGTCATGCCGCTCCGCGCCGGCTCCAGCACCTGCCAAGTCAGGCTGGGGTCGATTCGAGCGCCAGCGCGGGTGGTGGGTGGTGGGTGGGATGGAGTGCGGTGGGGTGGGGTGGGGTGAGTGGGGTGGGGGTGGGCCCCTTTTTGGAGTGAGAAAAAAGCCGGGCACAGAAACCATGGCGCAGAAGGAGTACTCAGTGTTGATAAACCCCCTCGTGTTCCAGCGGTGTTCGAGTGAGTGGGTGGGGCCTTGGTGCTTGAAAGCGGGTGAAACATGCTCCAGAAGCCTTCAGCCAGGATCCATGACAGCAACCACAAGGGCACCACAAACTCCGCGCCTTGCCCGAGGCGTTGCGCCCCAGGAGCCTCGGGTCGGCCCCTGTCTCACCCTCTGCCTCTGCAGGACTCACCTGGCCACGGCCAAAAAAAAACAACAACGACCCCAACCAATAACCCAGTTGCTGACCAGACCTGAACTGCTGAGAAAAAAACATGGTCACCATTCATATATGGGTCCACCTTTTTGGAGGCTCGGAATCCCCCTGTTTGGTCTGGTTTCAAGGGAAACCAACCGGAAAACCAATAGTTTTTGGGCGGCTAGGCTTCCGTGGCCATGCCCATCAGCTTTCCCAGCAGGTCCCATGAGTTGTGGAGGGAAATAAGATACACACGTTTCGGCTTGAGCAGCTTAAGTAGTGGTTTGCCTCGTGTTCATAGGGATCGAATTGATGATGATGACGATGACGATGACGATGACGATGATGACGATGATGACGATGATGATGGTGGTGATGATGGTGATGGTGATGATGGTGATTGTGACGGTGACGGTGATGGTGATGGTGATAATGATGGTGATGATGATGATGATGATGATGATGATGATGATGATGATGATGATGATGATGGTGATGGTGATGGTGATGGTGATGGTGGTGGTGATGATGGTGATGGTGATGGTGGTGGTGATGGTGGTGGTGGTGATGATGGTGGCGACTTGTTCGTTCTCGCAAAGACACAGACATGGTGTTCGAGCAAGAGCTGGTCTAAGCCCTTGCTCTCGAGGCAAACGCAGTACAAGTGCATTCATGCACTACAAACCTCAATTTGCCTGTCGAATTGAAAGTAGAGCCACGTCAACAAATGTCCAGCGCCGGCATGTTGGGAGTAGGGCCAATTTCAGGGCCAGAGTGATTGCAGTGCAATCCGATTCGTCGTTTTTTACCCACAAGAGGTGTTTCTTGGATGCATGCCCTTTCCCAAAGGTTGGATGGCATATCGATCCGCGCTTTCACAAGAGCTCCAAGAAGCCGAAAGACAACGACCCAGGACCGAAAGTATTGGGGTAGGGTGTGAGTCAGATTCTCGCAGCATAGCGACACCTAAGTTAACAGGGGGCAGCCACAGGGATCCGTTTTTGTTGCTGCCTTTTAAGTCCTTACTCTTTTGAAAGATATGGGGGTTGATCAAAAGGTTCGGGTTTCATGGGATGACCATTGGGTTCTGATATTTCAACCACTGAGTGGGAAAAGTTACCCATGGTGATTTGGGGGCCCCAAATGGAATATTGATCAACCCCCATATCACCTTACCCAATTTCGGTGGTTTAGTTTCGTGGTGGACCTTAGGGATACCTTCCAACCATTTGGATTCAAGATCCCACCAATCCAAACCACCTCTGGGGTGGGAAACACCTTGGAAACCGTCTTGGAAATCCCATCTTGTTCCGTATCTGAGAAGTTTATCTTTATCCCCATCTTGGAAATCCACCCATCTAAACCACCAATTAGGGGTTGCCTGATACCCGGATCCGATCTGCATCTCAGCGTTTAACGCCCCAAGCTCAGAACTTGCTGGATTTTCTCCCGATATGGCAGGACTCAGGAGACATCTCCATTTTGGGTATGGATTCCGCTTATTATTATTTTTTTTGGGGGGGTGCTTGTTCGTTTTTCGTCTTGGCCAGTATGTCGTTTTCGGCCCCCTGGAACAAGAAACGTATTTCCAATGTTGATCGATTGCCGTTAAAACAACAGCGGAAAATAACAGATATGATTAAGCAAATTGAAGAAGCAGCTTCACTGCACGCACGGCCTATCACATAATAAGCAGCACTCAAGGCTCAAACCGCCTGTTCTTTCACCATATACAAGCTAGCTCTCGTGATCACGCTTGCACTATGGCAACGCTCAAGAGTCTGGATTCAAGATTCAAGCGGAGTCAAACATTTCTTATACCGAGCCCTCGAACATTGCTATACATCTTCAAAAACCGGCTTTTGCCTTGGACAGTGTTTCCGAGTTCACAGTTCAATGAAGTGTTTGGGCACGGCTCTCAACAAAGTGTGTCTGCTCTCTGGGGTGAAGGCTGCTTGCCGCATTCAACAAAGTATCTTCCTCAGTTCCAGACTCACTGAAGCCATGTTCTCAGATGCCCAGTGGATTTCCATGGGAAAAAAGGCATCTTTTTTTGGTTTGTTGACTTTTTGGCGGGAACCCTTCCCAAAAGACTGGGCAACTGGGTGTTGGCAAGCTGATCGGGCACAGGCATTTCCTGATTGCCCTGGATGGCTCGGCAGTATCTGCCAAACTGCCAAGCTGAATTCAGCAAACAAGTTGGACATGCTCCGACGGTCCGACGGCATTTGCCGTGACAACAAATGTCAAACAGTTACACTTTGCAGTCTGAACCGTTCCCGCTCGCCAGGTAAGGACCGCAAGAAAGAAGGAGGGGCACGCAAAAGTTCGTTTGCTTGCGGGCACAAACAAAGCCATATATACATATATATATATATATATATGTATATTAATACATTATAATATACACTGCTGTTGGGGGTAAATATACATACGGATTAATTGTTTCGCTTGTACGACAAGTTAGCCTTTTGCTGGGGCCCTGCTTTTCCGGGGCGGTCCCGGATGCAATCCGAATGGTCCTGACGGGACTTGCGCATTCCCTCATCTGGTGAGGGGGGCTCTGCACTGGAAGACGCTGCCGGAAACATCACGACATGCTGCCGCCACAGTCATGCTTGTCTCCCGTACGACCTGAGTAGTATTGTGCGTGTGTTGTGTTTGTGTGTGTGTTTGCTTCCTGTGTTTGGGTTTGTAGGGTTGTGTACTACTGTGCGTTTGTGATTGCATTTGCATGTGGATGTGTTGTGTGCGCTTTGTGTGTTTGCACTTGTGCGCGTGTGTGTGTGTGTTCTGTAGGTGTACTGTATGTGTATATTTGTGTATGTGCACGTGCATGTGTCTGTGTCTGTGTCTGCGCCGCTGTCGGTGTCTGTCTGTGCGTGTGGGTGGTGTGGTGTGGTGTGGTGTGGTGTGGTGTGGTGTGGTGTGGTGTGGTGTGGTGTGGTGTGGTGTGGTGTGGTGTGGTGTGGTGTGGTGTGGTGTGGTGTGGTGTGGTGTGGTGTGGCGTGGCGTGGCGTGCTGTGGTGTGGCGTGGTGTGGTGTGTGGTGTGGCGTGCTGTGGGGTGGGGTGGCGTGGCGTGCGCGCCTGCGTGCGTGCGTGTTTGTGCGTGCGTGTGTGCGCGCGTTTGTAGCTATGAATGTGTTTCTGTCTGTGTGTTTTTGTATGTCTGTGATTGCATTGTGTGTGTGATTGTGTGTAAGAGTGTGCGTTTCCGTGCTTGCATTTGGTGTGCACCTGTGTATACTGCGTCTTTGTGTGTGTGTGTGCCGATGTCAGCGCATATGCGCTTGTGAAAGTATGCATGCATATATACATATGTATATATATATATGTATGTGTGTGTGCATGTGTGTGTGTGTGTGCGTGTGTGTGCATATGCGAGCGCGCATGTGCCTGTGCGTGTGCCCCTGGGTGAGTGTGTGTGTGTGTGTGCTTGGTGTGTGTGTGTTGCGTGTGTGATGTTTGTGTGTGTGTGATGTTTGTGTGTGTGTGTGTGTCTTGTGTGTCTTGTGTGTCTTGCGTGTCTTGTGTGTTTTGTGTGTCTTGTGTGTCTTGTGTCTTGTGTGTCTTGTGTCTTGTGTGTCTTGTGTGTCTCGTGTGTCTCGTGTGTCTTGTGTGTCTTGTGTGTCTTGTGTGTCTTGTGTGTCTTGTGTGTCTTGTTTGTGTGTGCGTGGGTGCGTGGGTGCGTGGGTGCGTGGGTGCGTGCGTGCGTGCGTGCGAGTGTTGTGTGTGTGTGTGTGTTGTGTGTGTTGCGTGTGTGTGTGTGTGTGTGTTGTGTTGTATTGTGTTGCGTTGCGTCGTGTTGTGTTGTTGTGTTGGTGTGGGTGTGTTGCGTTGTGTTGTGTGGGTGTCTCTGTGTCTCTGTGTCTCTGTGTCTCTGTGTCTCTGTGTCTCTGTGTCTCTGTGTCTCTGTGTCTCTGTGTCTGTGTGTCTGTGTGTCTGTGTGTCTGTGTGTCTGTGTGTCTGTGTGTCTGTGTGTCTGTGTGTCTGTGTGTCTGTGTGTCTTTCGGTCTGTCCGTCTATGCGTCTGTGCGTCTGTGTGTGTGTGCGCGTGCGGGTGCGGGTGAGTGTGGGTGTGCGTGTGCGTGTGCGTGTGTGTGTGTGTGGGGGTGTGGGGGTGCGCGCACGCCTGTGGACGTGTGTTGTTTGTTTCTTTGTGTGTGCGTGTGTACCTGTATGCGTGTATGTGTTCGTGCTTGTGAGTCTGTAAGCATTCATTTATTTCTGTGTGGGTGTGCGAGGGGGGGGGTCGTGTCAGAACGTAAGCAGGTCTTCATTGGGCATGTGATCGTGTTTGCGAGTATGCAAACCACGCAAGCCGCGGACAATAGCACTTACAATTGATTCAAGTGAGTGGGCCCTCAATCTGTGAGAAAACCACGGGTTCTTGGGTAGGCCACCCCATGAACAAAGCTCATGCACCGAGGGCGGCTCTTGTCGACCATCCATGAGAAAGCGTCTCCAGAATTGGGGCCTGTCTCAAAATGGCTGGACCCTCGAAATGATGGGTGTCCTTCTGGCTTCCCTTTAAAACCACCCCAAAAAGAGTTCTCTCCAAGCAACACGCGCCCAATTCATTCTGCGCCTTGGACATGGTTTGCCGAAAGAGCTGCCAGATCTCAAACAATTAGCGGAAGAGGCATGCACAAATTCTGGACGCTCGTCTTCACTGCGCCCTTTGAACGCTTCTCTAAGAGCAGCTTATTACAAAGTTACAAAGCAGAATCTAGCATGCCTGCTTGAATAACCAATGCTAATTCTAAATTGCAAAGAATTGATGGATCCGGATCAGTCAGTACTCGCCTCACCACAGCTGCTTCGCAACTCCAGAAGGGCTATCTGGATAGGCTCGAGATTGCTACAAGGGCAAATCTGCATGAGCCGCACGAAGCTCATGTGAAGCAGGACTTGGCTCAGCTGATTCACCTTCCAGATGGGCGTCTTGGGGCCCACAAGGCGCGTCAACTGCTCCTCCATGAGATCGACAACTCGATCAGCTCCTGGCAGCTTCTCCGCGCGCACCTTGAGATGGGGAAGGACGAGGTTCAACCGATCCTGCTCGCTGAGGCCCCGTAGGAGCGCTCGCTGCCGCTTGTCCAGCTTTGCAGAAGGGCCGTGCGGACAATGGCAGAACTCGCACTGTCGGCCTTTGGGGCAACCAAACCGCAACCAAATGCACGGCTTCCGGCAGTACTCCGGATGTCCTGCACTTCCTGAGGACAACACATCGCGACTGATGGACTGCTTCGCCTCGCTGCATCCGTCGGCCTTGCGCGCCTCCGCAAATACCTTGAGATACGAGGCGCGCTTCTCCAGTGTCTGAACTTGAGACACACCTGGGTCAGCATGTCGAGCCGGCTCATGAAGGTGAGCAGGAAGGCTGGCTGATCTGATTGGCGATGAAGTGCGCGACTTTGTGGTGATGAAGGTGTTCTCCACGCAATAGTACATGGCTCTACGCCTCAACCGATGATCCCCTGATTTCTCCTGCCTTGGGCCACTGCTCCGCCAAGCTGGCTAGCTTTACTGGAACAACCAACGCCACTTGTGCAAATTTCGCGCATCGTCAAACTCCAACGTGCCCAATTCACACACATTCCTATGGCGAAGAGACCCAACCAAAAAAGTGTACAGCTTTCCAACTCAGCTAAGACTGTCTGATAGCATGAAGACCCGACGTAAGTCAGTCAAGTGGCAACCAAAAAAACATGAGGAGTCCTGCAAATGAACCAAAGCCCAAGAAACATCCCAACGCTCCTTTCGCAGGCCCCGGGGCTCTTTTTGGGTTTGGGATTCCATGTTACTTGGCTTGGGGAGCGATGACACGGGGGCTCTTTTAGGACTCGGACCCCCCAAAGGTGGATGTCCCCCAGAAGTTTCTCCCCAAAAAAACATACACAAAAAAAAGAAAGCATGTTCCAAGCGATTTTGGGTTTCGGTCCTAAAACACCTGGACGAAGAAACACAAGGGCACGCCCGAAAAGGAAAAGAAAAAACACGGGGTCAACATAAAACCGCCCGGGAGAAAATCCGCGGACAGTGCCCCTGGCTTGGCCTTGGGCACATTGTACACGATGTGGCTGTTGGGCAGCGTGTGCTTGCCTCAGCGCGGAAGCTTCTGCCGAAGGGATTCAAAGCTTCGGCTCGCTGGTCTTAAGGCGGCGGGTGCTTTAAAGGATGAGGTTTAAAGGGAAACCCACATCCATGGGTTTAAGGGAGTCCCCAATTTCAAGACACGCAAGAAAAGCAAGGCGTGGACAAAAATGTGATCTCTGATCTAAGATCTGGAGAATCCGACAACAACAAGGGAAAAAACGATGATTACCTGATTGGCCGAAATTGTCAACGGATCTCTCTCATGGAAAAGCAACACACTCAAAACCAGACAACTCGATATCAAAACCTGGGAGATCTGGTACTGCCACCAGACACAAACACCGCAACAACGCAACTTGCGCCATAGGTGATTCTTTCAAGCCCAACAGGCGATGCATCTTGAACTCCTTTTTGGGTACAAAGGCTTCTGCTTGCTGGTTCTCAGGGATTGGAATGACCCCGCAAAAGACCATCCCTTTTCTAGAGATTCCTGTATTTGGGAACCCCCAAAACTGGTTCATTTGACCACCTGGCCAAGGTCGTTCCCTTCCTATCGCAACAGCAAGATCTGCTTAAGCCCCCTGGCAAAAAATAAAACCAATTTTCAAATAGTGGAATCTACTCCCTTCAAAACCAAATAAAAATACAAAAGAACTAGAGGACGATTGGCCCGAAAGCATTGTTCCCCAGGTGCTCATCCAGCCGCGGAGACACCTTTTTACATCGATGCGGCGAGCGTGTCTGCGCGCGGTGATGCTCAATGTGTATGGTCACATGAGAGCTCCATCTCATCGTCCTACGAGAGGAAACATGGCAGTGCTCGATCCCACATATTTACATCCGTTAAAACAAGAAGAGTAAAGCTCGTAAAGCTCGAAACGAATTACAAGCAAAAGGAAAAGCAATCAATAGCAAAGCTCACACGACGGCCACAGTTTCTGCAAAGCACGCTCGCGCAACTTGGCTCTGTGCAAGATGGCTCTGCGCAGCTTGGCTCTGTGAAAGTTGGCTCTACGCAAGCTACTTTTCGCGAGTGGCTCTGCGCAAGCTGCATTGTTCCAGGCTGCTGCGCGCAAGTTGCTCTCTGCAAGCTGCTGCACGCAAGTGCTCTGTGCAAGTTGCTCTGCGCAAGTGCTCTGAGCAAGTTGCTCTGCGCAAGTGCTCTGCGCCAGTTGCTCCGTGCAAGCGCTTTGCGCATGTGCTCTGTGCAAGTTGGTCGGTGCAAGTTGCTCTGCGCAAGTGCTTTGTGCAAGTGCTCTTTGCAAGTTGCTCTGCGCAAGTTGCTCTGCGCAAGTGGCTCTGCGCAAGTTGCTCTGCGCAAGTGCTGCCGCAGCTGTGGGAATGAACTTCGCGTACTATTTTTGTACTTAGAAGTTGCGATTTTCCAGCCGGAGCTGCGGGAGTGTGCTCCGCGTACTACGTTTGTACTTAAAAGTTGCGATTTTCCAGCCGGAGCTGCGAGCACGCTCCGCATACTACGTCTGTACTTGAAAGTTGCGATTTTCCAGCCGGAGCTGCAGGAGCACTTAGCCGGCTGGGGATTTGATATCTTTTATAAATCGCTATAAGAGTTAGCAGCGGGTGTATAAGGGTTACAACATGTGGTTTAGGAGGTGGTTTAGGCAAGGGTTTAGCTAAGGTTTAGCTAAACCAGCTGAACCTGTTAAGGTTTTTCCTTCAATTTCCAGCACCTGTGTGCAATTGGTGCAACAATGCGTTTTCCTACCGCAAGCGAGACATCAAGCAAAGCCGCAGCGGGCAGTCCGCGCGGCCCCAGAGACGCAGCTCATCTTTTTGCTCCTGTCTCTTTTTTAGCGGTTCCACAGCTCAGATCAGAGCTCATTTGATTTGACATTGTTTGTTAGATTCATATTTCCAGGTTTTTTCAGAATCTGATTTTTCAGATTTGATATCAGAATTGGCTTTTTAAGATTGTTTTCAGAATCTGAATTTTGCAGGTTTTTTCAGATTCAATTTTTTCGACAAAATCTGAAAAGTCTGAATCTGAATATTTAAGTAAAAAAAGGTGATGAAGATTCAGATTTTGAGAATCTGAAAAAATCCGAATAATCTGAATCTGAAAAATCTGAAAAATTCAGATTCTGAAAAAATCTGAAAAAATCTGAATCTGAATATTTAAGTAAAGAAAGTGATGAAGATTCAGATTTTCAGAATCTGAAAAATCTGAAAAATCCGATTCTGAAAAAATCTGAAACATTCAGATTCTGAAAAAATATGAATCTGAATATTTGTGTAAAGAAAGTGATGAAGATTCAGATTTCCAGAATCTGAAAAACTCTTAAAAATCTGAATCTGAAAAATATGAAAAATTCAGATTCTGAAAAAATGAAGAATCTGAATCTGAAAAAATCTGCAAATTCAGATTCTGAAAAATCTGAAAAATCTGTATCTGATATCAAATCTGAGACCTTGCGCCCGCAAGGCGGCTCACGCATCATACTCGGCTGCGGCTTGCACGGGCGCCGCGCGGGCTCACGCCCGCGGCGGCATGCGCAGGGGCGAAAAATACCGAAAGGTAAATGATTCGGCTTCCCTCTTGCCTGCTGCGGGACTGTGCTTGAAAAAAGCTAAGTCTGCTAAGGGTATTAGCCCCGAAAACAGATCCCAAAAGCTAACCCCGCTAAACCTTATAAGGGTTGCGACCATATTTACTAAATATTTTTCTTGGGGTTTACAACGGGGGTTATAAAGCGTGTCATATCTCCTATATAATCCTTAGATAGAATCTGGTAAACAATAGAAACGACTCATAAACCTTGAGATATAGGTTTGACCAACTTATCTCGTTTGCCAAGGAGTTTGGCAGCCTTATAACCCAACTTAGCCGAGATACTAAACGTTTATAACCGAGCACGCTCCGCATACTACGTCCGTACTTAAAAGTTGCGATTTTCCAGCCGGAGCTGCAGGAGCACGCTCCGCGTACTACGTTTGTACTTAAAAGCTGCGATTCTCAAGCCGGCTGCCGCAGACCAGGGGGGAATCGAGCCCGCGACCGCGGGATTGCGAAAGCAGGCGCGCGAACCACGAGACAACTTCCAAAGGCCGCTTCGCGAGCAAGAAAAACGCACGGCGCCGCAGCGAGAGCACTTCCACACGCACGATCTCCGCAGAGGGTTCATCGGGCTCAAGACAGATTCGCACGGGACCACAGCGAGAGCCATCCGACACGCACGATCCCCGCAGAGGGTTCATCGGGCTCAAGACAGATTCGCACGGGACCACAGCGAGAGCGCTTCGACACGCACGATCTCCGCAGAGGGTTCGCCGCGGTCAAGACAGATGCGCACAGCGCCACAGCGAGAGCGCTTCGACACGCACGATCTCCGCAGAGGGTTCGCCGCGGTCAAGACAGATTCGCACGGCGCCACAGCGAGAGCGCTTCGCCGCGGTCAAGACAGATTCGCACGGGACCACAGCGAGAGCGCTTCGACACGCACGATCTCTGCAGAGGGTTCGCCGAGGTCAAGACAAATTCGCACGGCGCCACAGCGAGAGCGCTTCGACGCGCACGATCTCCGCAGAGGGTACGTTTCGTAAGCTCCCGTCGGGCCTACCCCCGCCAGAAAAAGAAGAAGAGTTAAGAGTCGAGATGTGAAGGTAGAAAGGAAAAGTTAGCTTGTGTTTTTAGGATAATGAGATAACACCCGAAAAGTTGACATGAGAAGTTGGCTGGTGAAGTAACTCTCGAAAAGCTGGCATGAGAAGTTGGCAGGTGAAGTAACTCTCGAAAAGTTGGCATGAGAAGTTGGCAGGTGAAGTAACTCTCGAAAAGTTGGCATGAGAAGTTGGCAGATGAAATAACTCTCGAAAAGTTGGCAAGAGAAGTTGGCAGGTGAAATAACTCTCGAAAAGTTGACATGAGAAGTTGGCAGGTGAAGTTTGCAGCCGCTTTTAGAAGAAGAACCCTTCGCAATGCTTCCGGGAAGACAAAAACAGCAAATCTCATGTCTTGAGTGGACAGCCCCAAAGATTGAAACACTTCTTGCCTTCCACTAAGTCGGTCCGAAAAACCCAACAAGTTGTTTTAAAGTCTATGACCTCAGGAAATGAGAACCCAAACAATAGGTTCAAAGTCCATGAACTGGCCGCGCCGTCTTCTCCGGGCCGCTGTACTCGAAGACCCGCGGCGCCTTGGGCGGCTTCGTCTCCTTCAGCCCCGCCGCCTGGCCTGGGGCCGTCTCGGTGAGGCGCTTCCGCAGCGCGGAGCACCAGTCCAAGGTGTTGGGCGCCCGGATGTGCACGCTGATGCCTTGGGTTGCTCTTGCGTTCCCCTCCCCCCCAAATGTTTCTTTTGTGGAGTTGTTTTTTGAGTGCTTGATGCCGAGAAAGAAACAAGAAAAGGCTCTCCTTGGGCAGGGATCCGAATGCATTATACACCTGAGCATTGCCTTGTAAATGGTGGTGTCCAACTGTATTTTGGTGGGAAAAGCCATGATTCAAATGGGCAAAGTGTATCTTTTAAGGAGCCCTGTTGGGTTGCTGTTGTTTCTTGGAGGGGAGGGGAGGGGAGGGAGGGGAGGGGAGGGGAGGGGAGGGGAGGGAAGGGAAGGGAGGGAGGGAGGGGGGGGGGGCCTTGTGTGTTCTCCGTTGTGTGTGTGTGTGTTTTTTCTTTCCGGGGGGGGGGGGGTGATGCGTGCGGCGGAGAAAGGCTCATTGCTTGTTGGTTCTTTTTTGGACTGGTTATGACTGGTTTGTCATATTCCTTGCAGGAGGGGATCTTTTGTGCGGGGATTGTTTGGTGGTTAACACGCTCTTCATGACCGTTTTTTGTGTTTTTTTTGGGGGGGGGGGGGAACATTGCTCTTTCTGTGGTTTCGAGGGAAATGGGGTTTTGTTCAGGAAATGTTTGTTGGCAAAGAACACACGCACACATTCGCTCCTTGTGTTGCTTTCTGCTTGGTCCGACTCACACAAATACCAACTCTTTGCCCCCCCCACTCTCAGGTTTTCAATGGAACAACCATCCAAATAGAGGGTTCCTTCCGACTGTTTGAACCTTCCAAGTCGCCCCGGCACTCTCATTTGTCGCAAAACAACTAGTGAGGTGTCTGTTTTCGAGGTACCTCCTTTTTTGTGTCTTGAGACAAACCAAGAGGAAACCCCATGTCAACATGAGGGGCCCAAAAAGCGAAAACCTGCGTCGCATCCAAGCGGTTTCTTGAGCCCATGAAAGCACGGTGCAGTTCTCCTCCGGCGCCGAGGTGAGAGTGAAGGGATGCCACTCGCCCTTCCAGCCCAGCAAGATGTACTGCCCGGCCTCAAAACCGCTGCAACCAGGCTCGGATCGAGCCGAAAAAAATTGCTTTGCTCACCCGACTCCCAAACAGATGTGAAATGGGCCCGGGGAGGGATTTGATTCCCAAAAAGCAAAATGGTGGGCTTACTTTCCTTTTGGTGCCCCTCTAAATCAAGATGAAGATAATACTATGCAACAGACAGGTATGAAGGCACCCAAAACTGACTTCTCTAGATCAGCTGGCTGTTTCTTGTCATGACCAAACAAAGGCGGAAGCAAAGCAAAGCCGGATAGTCAATCCGCCCAAAGGAATGTAAGCTCTTCGGATTTCTAGCAGGACCATACGGGTATATTTTGGGGGAGTCATGTGATCCTAGAAAGACTGTTTACGTCAGCTCCTGCAAAAAAAATGTTCCCAGTTGGTCCCGAAACAAACGACGTACCACAAGAAAAAGAAAGAGCTTCGGTCTTTCCCCAAGCCGTTCAGGAAAGCACACAGATTTCTCGCTTCGACCATGCCCCCACCCCCAACACCCCCAACACCCCCAACACCCCCAACACCCCCAACACCCCCAACACCCCCAACACCCCCAACACCCCCAACACCCCCAACACCCCCAACACCCCCAACACCCCCAACACCCCCAACACCCCCAACACCCCCAACACCCCCAACAACACCCCCAACACCCCCAACACCCCCAACACCCCCAACACCCCCAACACCCCCAACACCCCCAACACCCCCAACACCCCCAACACCCCCAACACCCCCAACACCCCCAACACCCCCAACACCCCCAACACCCCCAACACCCCCAACTCCCCCCACCCCCCCCGAGCCAAAACCCCCCCAAAACTCCCCTGGAACCGATTCGCCTGGTAGGCGAAGCCTTGGGGCAGCTCGAACGTCAAGCCGATGACGTCGCGGGGCAACAGCTTTACGCTCTTCAGGCTCAGGTTCAGCTCCTGTGCCATTGACCGCCCTCTTTTCACGAGATGTGCATGTGAGCTCGTGGATCTTTAAGGAGCCAACAAAGGACGGTGCCCAAAAAGCGCCCCCAAAACGCACCCCCAAAAACGCCGGCTCAGGTGCCCAGATGTCGAAGTGCAGCGCCTTTTGGGCCTAAAGCTTAGGCCTTGGAGCTTCCACGAATTCCCTGGTCAGCCCAGATGGCTGTAACCCACCGTTGTTTTTGTTTTTTGTGTTTTGGGGGGTTCCCTTTTCCTTGTTTCTGTTTACAGTTTCGTTGGCCTGAGCGCCGTGAGACAACCCATAGTCCGGTTCACCTTTCACAATGAGTCATTCGGTCGCCCCATGGGCTCCGGATTCGGAGCATGTTCAAATGGCTGTCCAACATTGCCCCTGGGTAAATAAAAAAAAGACCAATACCTGCGTAACCACTGCTCTTAAATTTTGAGCCACGCCCAGATGAGTTTCCCAAGAACCAGTTGAGTTCAACTGCAACTCCAAACCCATCAACACACACTTCCATTAGCGAGCTCTACTTTCAGTGGGTTCAAAGGAAATCAGGCTCAGGTGCACTGGCAGTGCCACCTCGGCCGCGCCCACGTCGGCGCCCTCCTCCACCGCGTGGGCGTTGGCCTTATTCGCCCACTCCTTCCTGCGACTTTGGCGCGGATCTGGAGGTTCCGGCGTTTTTCTCGATACCTGGTGGGTCGTTGTTCAAAGGGATGGGTCCTTTTTGCTCGAAATACCCCCCTTTGTTTGGTCGGGTTTTGCAGGAATACTCCGCATTGGTTTTGCTTTTGTGCTCTCTTTTTTTCAGGGTACCCCTCTTTTGTGGGTCTTAACGGGAAAGCCAAAGGGGAACCACACCGTTTTTGGGGTTCCCCAAAAGAAGACACACCCACATACGAACACTGGAATCTCCACAGACGAACATAGGAATCTCGCTTCCTGAGTGGATTAGATCCAACAAAGCAACGAAACTGTGTACATTTACAACTACATGGTCTTCCCAACAAGTTTCTAAAGTCCAGGAACTCGGGGAGTGAGGAATTGGTGCCCTAAAATGGTTGGTCGCAAAATAGGTAATTAGATTCTTAAAATGACGATAAGTTTACTTACAAATGGGACCCGCACAAACATGGTCTTCGGGATGAACATCTATCCCTCCACACCCACCTGCTCGGTCTCACTGCCCTCTCCTCTGCTTGGCCACCAGCTGACGTCGCTCCTCAAGCAGCCGCTCCATGGTCGCCTTCCGCAGCACCCAGCGCAGCACTCGCGGCCGGTAGCGGCGGCTGAAGAGCCAACTGCCCGGCCTGGCGCGCTGGCGCTGGTGGCGCTGGCGAAAGGCGAGTCCGGCAGAAGCCGCGAAATGGGTGGGGCTTCGTTGTTCCTTTTGCTCAGATGCCCAGTGCATTTCCATGGGAAGAAAAGGGCATCCTTTTTCGGCTGGTTGAGGCTACAGGGGAACCCTTCCCAAGAAAAAGGAAAAGAGGACGCCATAGGGCAACTGGGTTTGGGCTCTCTTCGAAAACACCGAACAACAGGTCACCTTACAAAAAGGACATAGCCAAACCAAAGGGAAGAGCGATCTAAACCATGAAGAGGTTTACCCATAGGTAGTAAAGTGGTCTACCCAGAAAAGAACTCGGTTAGGAATGTCCTCTGCCCTACGCGGTCTCCTGATTAGAAGCCGAGATCTGCTACCCAACCATGCAAGATACCCCCAACATGATGGCTCCACCACCAAACGCCAATTTGGATTGGGACGACCGACCCTGGGACCTTTCTAAGGCACCGCAAGCTCCCATGAGCCACAAGCTCCGATTCCACACCTCCGGCACGCGTGGATCGCGCAGCAGACGTAGATGAAGAGCACCAGGAAGCGGAAGCCGCCCACGCCCAGCGCGATGTTCTCGTAGATCTCAAAAGAGAATCCTGAAACTCGGCACATGCCGAGATCAGCTCAGGTATCCCAACAGTCCACAGGGAATTCCCTGGAACCCAATCTCCGGAACCTCAAGAAAGTTGGCCCCCCAAACCAGCCCGAACGATGCCAAATGATCTGGGCCCACCGACCAAACTATATCAGATTCGGGGAAAAACCACGAAAAGTTGGTGAGACTGCTGGGTTCTGTGGTTGAAATTTGGTGAGAGTCCCCCAAAAACATACGAATGCTTCGCTCTCGGGCCCTGCTTTTGGTTGAAATTTGGAGCTCCTCCCCCTTCTCGTCCCTTCCAAATGGATCATAGACTGGCAAGCTTCACCCAACCTTATGTGCAGGGAAGCGAACAACAGCCACGACGAAACGGCACCTTTTGGGTTCAACCCCGTGTCGAGGGTCCATGTGTATTTCCAAACACGTATCCACTGAACATGAAAGGGATGCCAAAAAGAAAGCAGCCATGGGGCGGAGCTTCTTTTCTTTGGACACATGTTGCCAAACTCTTTCCTTCCCAAACCATCAAGAAGAAATCCCCCAAGAAGCCGTTTTTGGTCACGGGCGACAGAACCTGTGTTGCCCTTGTTGCCCACGTTCTCTCGGCCCCAAAGGTGTAGGGTTGGGTCTCCTTTGGATTCACTTTCAAACGGACATGCCGTGACACCCACATAGCCTCCTGCTGTGGATGGACAAAGTCCTGCACCAGTTGGGGTGGGTGAACCCCTACAAATGACTGGGACAAACAACCTATCACGTGCTGTGAAATGGATTGTGTAAATGAGTAGCAAACAGTTAGCATACCCAGCCAATTGGAACAGGGGCATGTCCCAGTAAATGGATGAGCCACAATTCTGGGTCGCGATTGCTTCCGCAAAAAGGTCCATCACCTTTAGGTATCTTCCACTTGCTGAATATCCCTAGAACAAATACACACATGTCCAGTAGTGATGGATTCCAAGTTTAAAACCAACAAGGGAACGTAAAATAAAGCATATTCATTTCGGCAAACGGAAGGTAGGAAATCCCATTGGTTTCCCGTTACGGATCGCGGTCGACCAGCCACAGACCTGCGGGGAAGCCGTTGCCAGAAAACGGGTTGAACCCAAGCGGCGGGTCACGGTGATCTGGGCCTTGTGGGACCGGTTGGAGAAGTCGTTGTTCCTCTCATTGGCTTGCGTGAAAAAAATGGGGGCCCAACCGAAAACAAATTGCTGCAGAACCCCCCTTGTTTTTTTTCTCCGGTGCCCGCTGAAATTTAAACCCGGTTGCGGACCATTGGCCTTCTTTTTTTTGGTTTTGGTTCGGCTGCACAGCTCAGTATGGCGTTCCAGTGCCTCCTACAAGCCATTCCCTTGACTTGCGATTGGTGCGATAGGTAAGGAATGAGAAATGGAATGAACCGTTTGGGGAGTAAAGGAAACCATAGGATGGATGCTTTTTCTCGTGGTCATTCCATTTCTCATTGCCTGCTGAGCAAGAAAAATCACCAGCTGGAGCCTAGGGCTCCTTGCCCATGAAAAGAATGGTCAACGTCGACCCAATTTAGATGATGACACGTTACTAGGCAAACAATGGTCTTAACAACAAAACAACTCGCCTCCCACCACTTCACCTGGAACCTGACGCTCTCTTTGGGGGTGGTTTACACCATGTTCCGAAACGGACCCGGGTCCCGAACGTCAGATTCCATGATAATTGGTGGAAGGGTAAGCTGGAAGAAAACAAACCAACTTCACCCTGCATGCATGTTGTTTTTTTTTATGTTTTTTTAATGTATTCAAATGATTACATGTGCATTGTCTTGCGAAATATACACCTGTTGCATGTGCGGCGCATCTGGATTCATACTCATGCACACCTCCTCTTGCAGCTTCGATCGTACCTCGTAATTCGCGCGGAATGCTGAGTCAGGGGCTTTTCCGCGGGACCGCTTGCAAGAGGGAAAGCTGCCATACGTGGATGTCGACTGGACTTTCGCGAAAGGGGAAAACAGAACTTGTACTTGCAAGCGCTCTTGATTGAGCTCTTTGTGGCTGACGCCTGACAACTCTCGATTTTGGGTGTCGATGAAAAACCAAAAGCCTGCGCCCGAAAGTTCAGATGCCCGCATCGGAGTGTTCCATGCTGAACACTGAAAAAATAAGCTCAGGTGATATCCCCAACAGCATGTGGTGCTCTTTTTAGTGCTCGCACCACCCCGCAGCCCTCGCAGAACCTCGAGGAACCCTCGTGGAACCCTCGTGGAACCCTGGTGAAACCCTGCTGGAACCCTCGTGGAACCTTACCTCAGGGCCGCCCCGGACCACCCCGGAGCCTATCTGGGCTGTGACCCCAAAGCTTTCAGATTGACCCTCTGATGGGTGGAGGGAACCCCTTTTCAGGGATCCATTGGCATTGCAGGTCCCTCATTTGGAGACAAGCCCCCTTATGCGCCGTACAAATTCCCCCTGTGAGTTGTGGCCACAGCGCTCCTGCTAGAATTCTTTGCCATAGTTCCCAAGGCTCCCGATTGATTTAGGGCCGTCAAATAGCCAGGTTTTGAGACCCCCAAACACCCCGCAATGTCCCATGGAGGGTCTGGGTTGAAAGCCGAAGCCAGGAGCCTCTGGGTTGTCAAAAAATATCCTTGACACCTATCCCTAGTACCCGAAAAACAAAAAGGGTCTCTTGGCACAAGCGAACATTTCAGCTTTTTACCCCAACGTTCGTGATTCGGTCGGTCCACATTCAGACAGAACTTAAGATGTAAACTGACTTCAAGGGATCCACCTCATGTTTTGCCCACGGCACAAACTAAATGCCCACAGCTGCCCACTGACACTGGAAGGACAACCTATACACCCCCCCTCACCCCCACAACAGGTGCCAAATGTTGTTGCCATTCCAACATGTCGAGGGCCCTGAAGCTTCCAATTTTTCAATAGCGGAGCGCTCAAAAGTGTAAGCCGAAACGCGGAAGCGGGTGAATTGTTCGTCCGACAGTATGACAACTTGTTTACGGGCTATCAGCCCCACCTACGTTGGTTTCCCAGATTTATAAGCAAGTCTGCTCTGAGCTGTTCAAACTGATCCCCTGCCACAAGTTTGACTTTTAGTGGTTTAAATGGAAACCCCCACCAAACCAAAATAAGCCAGGTGACACCACCCCGCAGCCCTCGTAAAACCTCGTGGAACCCTGGTGGAACCCTGGTGGAACCCTCGTGGAACCTTACCTCAGGGCCGCCCCGGACCACCCCGGAGCCTATCTGGGCTGAGACCCCAAAGCTTTCAGCTGTTGGGGAGAAACCTAACAAGCTAAGGAACCGGACTGTTTCCGAACCGAGTGATGGTTAGCTCACAGTTCAACGAACCCATTCCCAAAACAGGTCTTCCCGGGTGTCCAGTTAGACCCCCTGCCAATGTTGGGCCCTTTGGCGCAAAAACCCACTGGTGGATGCGATGCGATGGGTGCCCGTCTTCATCTCCACCAGGCCGTCGAAGTAGGCGGCGCCGTTCAGCTGCTTGCCTCGAGCCGATCGCCGCAGTTCGTCGCGCGGAGGGTTTCTATGGCCATCAGAACCTATGGCGATCCCATGGGGCGGAATACCCATGTACCACCTGTTTTTGTTGTTGTTTTTTTTTCTTCTTTTTTTTTTTCTTCTTTGTTTTCGGTTTTTTGATTATGGTTTTTAATGTTCACCAGGGGTACAGCCATATGGGAGAGAAAAAAGGGTGTGGTATTTTGTAGGAGACCCCTCCGAAATGGCCAAAGCGGTTTTCCTTGTGGTTTCCTTGTACCCCAAAAAGGGAACCCTCAATAGAACACAGGCCCAAAGGGCACCCTGTTTGTCGGTTGATTTTTAGGGGAACCCATCTCCGAACCAGGAAATTAGGAAGTGTGTGAGTTGTTCCTTGGATGTGGCTGGTGTTTCCCTCTTTAAACCCGCCCAAAAAAGGGTACCCTCAAAAACAAGAGTACATACCTCATCCCTCTTCAACCAGCCAGAAAACCATGGGCTCAGCAAAATTGGTGACTACTTGGTTGTTCCCTTGGCACAAAAGAGGTGGCGCAAAGCCTATGTCCCCAACCATGTTGGTCAACCGGGTGTTGGTCTACTGGGTATGTTGGTTTCCTGGGTATGTTGGTTTACTGGGTATGTTGGTTTACTGGGTTTACTGGATGAAGCACCATGGCCAAACTTACGCCCTGCACACACAAAAATACCAGTTTGCGGCAAGGATTCGCTGTGCCAGTGCATTGTAATTTCCCGTGGCTCAGCGAAACGTTCCACCTTGCACCAAAGGACAATCAGGTTTTGTTGTTTGTTGTTTGTTGTTTGTTGTTTGTTGTGTTTCCGCGTCCGAAAGAAACCTATTTGGTGGAAACAAGTTGGGTTTGTCTGTTTTTAGGGAACCCCTTTTGGTTGGCTTTAAAAGAAACCCAAAAGTCAACCACATGTTTTTGGGATGTTCACCGTTTTGCCACCAATGGAACCCGGTCAAAAGGCAACTCCGGACAAGATGCAGTTGGTCTCCGAGTTCTGGTTGGTGTCCGGGTCACAGGTCACGATCCTCAGCAAACAGCTTCCTTGTGCGCTGGCGCAAGAGTTGAGACCGATCGTTGGTTTCCCGTTCAGCCAGCCCTCAGCTTCGAAGTTGGGGGATCATCGTTTGCACCAACCACCGGTCAGGGGGTTCCCCACTGGTAAGGGATTACCGCCTAAACCCTGGAATGATGCCGGTAAATGAAATACACAACGATGGTTGCAACCATGGGCTCATTTCCTGGCAAAGAGATGCGAACGCAAGGCCGATTCAATCCCCATTCAAAATAACCCCATTTTTCATGGCAACCAGTTGCCCAGTGTTAAAACCCCATCCATTTGAGTTGAGAACCCAGCGAAGAGCGAAAAAGGGTGACACTGGTCAACTGTAGGTTTAAACAACCATTCAAGCAACCTCCTGTTGGTTTCCCAAAGGGCACCAGGGTTTGGTCGGAAAACAAGTTTCCCCAAGCCTCAACCCCATTGACCAAAGGTGCCCCTTGCGAAATGCGGGAAAGGCGCGTAAGCACACCAAAGCAACCATCAGCCTTAATGATTTACGTTTCTCAGATTCGCCCCTGAAGTGGTAGGATGGACAACAAAGGCCAACCTGTTGTTCACTTTTGACAGCCCCTGGAATTCAAGATTATGGCCAAGAACCATGTGGTATGTTTTGGTCGTGCCGCTTGGCAGAGTTCATGGCATGTCCCTTGTAAACATCAACTGCCAACAGAAGAAAAATGCCCCAAATGGGTCTGATTTTTCATTGTCGGACCCTTTGGTGGACATCATTTAGCCGGGGATTCATGTCAATCACTTTTGAGGTGGTTCCCTATCAAAAAAAAAAAAAACATTGCCAAATTGAACCCCTTCAGGTGAAGTTTCGCCACCTGGAGCAGCTCTTCCAGGTGTTTGTCTCTCCCGGGCTGGGGATAGCACCCCGGTCACCCGGAGCGAATAGGAGACAGGAAGCCAAGACATCTCAACCCGGAACCCCAAGCAACCATGTAAAAAAAAAAAGCCACTGGCAGACCCTGAATTTTGACAAAACACGAATCTCCAGCGGCACCACCGGCACCACCAACAAAATCCAAAATCCCCGCAACCGCGCCGGACGAACATTTTCGCGAAACCCAAGCGACGAATTTTCGGCCCAAGAGGCGAGTCCTGGTCCAGGTACGCGAACTTGTCCGCCAGGCGCCGGCCCTCGGGGTCGTCGGGGTTCGCCAGGGCGTTGAAGAGCCTCAGAGCCATAGGTGTCCTTTTAGGGGAAATAGATGGATATCCCTGGTAGATGAAACCACCTATGCTCAGAGCAGAGAGATGCAAAAGCTGTAGCTATTGGGAAATTCGGATATATCAACCCATCCAAACCTGGCGCCCTGGGGGGTTCGATTTTAGGGGACCTTCTGAGTTTCAACCCCCCCAAGAACAGTTCACCCAAATTGGATGACCATCCTTAGGTAAACAATGGCGGTGAAATACCGCACCCAATCATTTGTTTTAATGGTGGTAACTGATCCCAGGAATGGGAACCCCGGATTTATAAACCCATCCTATTTATGTGGGGGGGGGGGGTGTTCCCCGACAATAATATCCCAATTAAAATGGAACACCCGCCTATTCAGCAACAAAGGGCTTGTTATTCCGAGGCTTCCATTACTCAGGTCCCGAGTGGATGCGCCAAAAAAAGTGCAAGCCTGCTCATTTTCACAAACTTGTCTTACCGCAAACAATCCCCTTGTTGGTGGTTTTCAAGTGAAACCAAGAGAACACAGCTGCGCCATTTTGGGCGTCTAGGACAGCTCCTTAGTCATGGGACGGATCCGAGCCCCGAAGCCTTTTCTGGCAAAGGCCTGAGTCTGGCGCTTCCCAATGCTTCCAGCCAACATCAAACCACGAACCTCGCCGATTTGTTGGTCCGAGGTCTAACCCTCTCCCCCCCCTCTCCCCCCCGGTTGGGGGACATATGTCGGATATTTTGGGGAACCCGGTGGAAACTTGGTCCATGCTCCACGTGCCAAGTTGTCCGGGCCCGCGACTTGAAGAGCCAGGAGGGGCTGGGGGGATCCAGTCTTCCCCTCCAAGGGGAAAATGCAAACCCTCAATGGAATTCGGCCACCCTCGTTCCATTTTTTCCGGTCGGGATTTCTGTGTGAATCCTGGGTTTCTGAGTTTCCGACCAGGGCTTAGGTTGCCGGGCCCACCCAAAATGGGTCGAAGCCAGTTTTGATCAGATCATCTGTGTGGTGTGTTGGGCCCTGCGGATCCCATTTGGGTGGCAGTTTGGGAGCTGTTTGCATCTTGCTTGGCAGGTTTTAAAGGGAAAAGAAAAACCGAAACCATTTTGGAGGTCCCCTAAAAAGGGACACACCCAACCACAGAGTAGGCCGGGTTTGAGGCTATCAGGTCCAGATGCGATTTAGATCAGGCCTCCCTCTTGAGCCAAAGCGGCAGGGTGTGCTTGCTCAAGGGTAGTGGCACTGTCTCCGACCTGGACTGCACCTGCACGAAGGCGACGCAATTTGATGTTGGAACCTGATTAGTTGATTAGTAAACCCCCTCACTCAGAGGGGATTCTGGGAGGTGCCCCCCCTGAGGCCCACTGCCGGGGGTACCTATCCCAGAAGGGAACTGGTACCTTGTGGTAGTCGAGGTCGTTTATGTGGTCCCTGGATCTATTCCGGAGAGAGTCCAATATGCCAATATGGATGATTGGAGGATGGATGTCCCTGGTGGATTGTATTGTTGTATAATCCTGTAAGCGGCCTGCAAAGGTTCCTTTGTCACGCAATCATGAGTATTGCTATGGCACAGAAGGGCCTTGAGCCAAATGGTTGCGGGCGATCAACATTGGTCAAAAACAGACACAAAAACAGACACAAACTTCTTTTGATCGCCGGCACTAGATATGAAATATCTTTGGCTTCTTGGCCTTTGGCCGTGGCCTTGATTTATGCCGTAGCCATGTGTATTGAAATACTGGATTCATCCTGTTTTCTGCGCGGATGAAATGTCTTGATTTGCAAAATGGAAAGCAGTCTGTACTGATTCTGTGAGATACCTAGATGTATCTAAAAGATGATGTACAACGCTATGTACATGCGGGACGGATGTGAAACTATTGATCTCTCACTGAATAGTCTTGTTGGCGGTGAGGATCAATTCGGTTGAAATTCGTAGTGCCGATTTCGGGTGTTCTCTCAGTCGAGCTTCAGAAAAACTTCTTTCCTTGGCGGATCACTCTGACCAAAGGAGGTCGAATGGATGCCAGAGGTGGCAGCTTCATCAGATAGTCAACGGTTCCACCGATAACTGCTGTCGGATTGGCTGCCGTAGTCTCCGTAGTCGTACCAGGTCGAGTCGGCGTAGTCCTTCCACTGCTTCTGATTGCCCCACTGCTGCTTGTTGTATCCCTTATACTCTTGCTGAGTCCAGGATTGCTTCTTCTTGAAGTACTCCTTGGATCGCTCAAAGTTTCGCTGCTTGGTGGCAGATCTGCTGCGGATATAGACCATCAGCGGACTGTGTGAGTCGGAATCTTGAGAGCCATTCATGAACATGTCGTTGTTTCACGTGCTTGAAACGTTCCGCGGATGAGACCTGATAGTCGAAAATGGCAGTCGTAGGATCGTTCCGCATGGTGTCCAGTTGATCATCTTTCATTGCGTCCATCTCTTCCTTCCGGAACTCCTGCTGGATGTTTGTCTTGCCCCATCCAAATATGAAAGTCATCATGACATCTGGGAATGTTCGATCAAACCCGGATCCAGTCTTCATGTAGAGGTGATGACGGACGATGGATTTTAGGGTGCAGGAAGTCTCCATTGCATATTCCATTCTGTCCACGAATGGCAAGTTCTCCGTTTCATTCCACAATCTCTGGTATGCCTTCATGAGGATATTCATGAGACCGTTGGCCGGATTGTAGACCTGTTGGAGTTTGCTGTAGGTGTTCGCGGACTTGTTGGCGTCTCCGGTGATCGCATCGCATTGATACAGTGTCACGAGCGGCATGATTTCGGTTTGGAAATCGTCCCGTGCTGCTCCATGGCTGATTGATGGATGGATGTGAAAAACTCCAATGGTAGCATACGGGAGGTCTGCCCTCGTCACATGGCGGCTGTCGAATTCGAGGAGTGATTCATTGGATGACTTTGGAAACACGCCACGAAATTCATCACCTTGCTCGATGTGGATGACGACAATTTCCTTGTTGCGCCCATGTCCCTGGACAAGTGTGCGTGGCGGCAACCTCGGTCCAATGTATTTCTTGGATTCCTTGAACATGGATGTGGTTGCCAGGCAGTCATAGGTCGGGATGTCGTATTCGGCATCAGTGCAATGGTTCTCGGTTCCGAAGAAGCATCTGAACATACCGAATGTAGTTCCCCAGTTTTGACTCCTTGTGGAAATGTGTCGTGCCAATAGTTCCACTCTTGCGGAAGGTCCGCCGCGGACAAAGCATGCGATTGGTCTGGATGACCATTGCTTGATAACTATGCCCTTGTATCCAAACCGGATGAACGTCTTGATGAGATCCTTGGATTTCTCACCTTGAGGACTGAGGAATGCGTCTGCTTCATTTAGGCATATGATGTGCGCGCTGTTCTGCATCATCATCCTCGTGATTGGTCGATCCTTCATCGCCATGTTATTCACCTCCTTGTTGTCCAGCTTTGGATTCCTTGTAAGGTTTCCGTGGTTCATGGTGAGCATGTTGATCGTCATGGATGAGGTGAACTCATGTGTCTTGAGTGGTCCACAGGAGGACGGTCAGTTGGTTGCATCAGCGATCCCAGGATGTCAGCAAATGCCTGGATGACCTCTGGTTTGTCATATGCCCTGAGCTTCTTCAATCCAAGCGGAAGCTTGATCGGATATCCTGATGCTGGCTTTGCCTTCCTGAACTCTTCCATGGATGGCAATTCTCCTCGGTGGCGGAAATAGAATTCTTCTTCCTCGAGGTTGACATCTGGATCGACATGTGCCAATGAAGCTCGCTCGCATTCTGTCAATTCGGGATGAGCTCTCCGTGGATTCCTGTCGTACTCCTCCATGAAGTGGATGAAGTTCCTTTTGGTCTCCTTGAGCTCTTCCTCGGCGTCCTTCTTGGTCATGTCCATTTCAAGGTATATCTCCTTGAATGCCTTGATGAACTCTTCTAGGTTCTCGGAATTGGGATACTCCATGGTGACCTTCGGCTTGACGGATCTCTCCCCGGAGGGTTCCATGTTCTCCTCATCATTTTCGTCCTGATCGGTAGAGTGCCGTCGCTTCTTGGTCTCTGTGGATGTATCTTTTTCTGATTTTTCCTTGCTTTGTTGGTCGGAATTCACATATTTGAAGAAGGCATCGGCGAGTTCATGGATCTTGGTGTCGTACATCTCAACGTCTTCACGAGTGAGAGACTTCTTCATGATCCAGTTGTTGCTCATCATGATGCTCCCATCAGGTTCAAATGCTGCAACAATATTCTTCGCCTCGATGGTTTGTTCTGTTAACGCTGTTCGCTCTTCGGAGAGTCGGATGCCGTAGTCCTGGTCCTTGAGGAATGCAAGGATCAACAACGCATCTCTTCCTGTTGGCACATGTGTCAATGCTGCTTCTGGCGTGTCGTCGTCGAGGATAACGTCGTCGATGCATGCCATGTGGATGTGCACTCTCCCCGAAGGGTTTGACTGGGATTTCCCAGATTTTAGCCCGTTCTCCATGATGCTGATCAGCTGACTTCCATATGTTGCATGGAACATGAACGTGATGGGCTTCTTCGCGAACGGCTTGATTTTTCTCTCTTCTTCAAAGGATGGTGGTGCCGGCCTTCGCATTCTGTATTTTGCCTGGGCTGCGCCTTCATCTTCATGGGGCACGTCGGATCTTGAAGGATGCGGACTTGGAGGAATGGATTCTGTTGGAAGATCGTAGTCCGGTTCTTCTTGACGAGGTTCATTCTTCTGTCCAGGCCAAAGGGGGCGTCCAAAGCGTTGGAGATCGACTTGTCGCGTATGACCGCTGGTGCATCTCACATAAAATTCCATCTCTGGATCATTGAGGAAATTTCTGCCATCAGGCCTGAGTGCATCATATGCGGTTCTGGATGTGAGGTTGTCGATCCATCGATTCCTTGGAACAATGCATCCCTTGTCCTTGCGTTCCTGATATGACCCGTCCACGGATGGATACACAAAAGCAATCTCGAAACGTGCCTTTCCATAATCCGGGAACACAGCCATCAGGAAAAGTCCTGGCTTATTGCCCATGAAATTCCTCGCATGTGTAATGCATACCAATGCATCGTAGAGCTCAACGGATCCGTCAGGATTCATTTCCACTTGTCGTCGGCATTCTCTGTGGGTGCCCTGCCTTGGATCATGTCGAAAGCATCCGGAAAACAATCTGCTCAATCGCTCAATTCGCCAGAGGATGAGGTCGGTGATCTGTTTTGCCTTGGATGGATCCATGTGGAAATATTTGCAAACCTGCTCAACATTCTGGACGGTCTTGTCAAGATCAATCATGCGGTTGTGGCATACCATCGGGATGATGTCGGTTCCAAAATCTTCCGGATGAGCATTGGTATTGCAGCAGATACTGTAGATCTTGTTGATGAAGTCCATGTATTGTTTCTCTGCATGCGGGCCTTCATGGAGTGTTGGCTGCCAGTAATCATTGAATCTGGCTCTCAACCAGAATACCCTGTCTCCATGTTCTCGTTTATGCTCAGGAATGAAGTGGAAGTCCGGAAACGAGTCGAGGATGGTAGAGCACTCCTTGTAGTATTCGGCCACGAAGGTGAGGAATCGGGAATTCCAGAAAGGTCCTGGATGTACGGATATCTTCTGGAGTTGGATGCCGGTATCTGATTCTTCGGGTGTCTGCCACCGGTCGTTGGATGTGAGAGTTGTCCGCATCGCTGGTCGCCTTGGAAGTGCAGGTCGTTCACCAGGATTGTTGTCGGATTCTGTCTCCTCATCCAATGTATTCTTTGGTGCTGGCTTAGCCTTTGACACAAGCCTCAATGTCGGTGGTGGTGACTTTGGAACCAGTTTCGGATGTGGCATCGCCTTCGACTTCGGATTTCCTGCGGGAGGTTGCTCTTCTTCATCCGGATCATCATCGTTGTCGGTATCTCGATCGTAATCTACCTGCTCCATGTTGACATTATCTGGTTGTTGAGAGGCGGATGGATTCTCATCGACGACCTGCTCCATGGGGCAGTCGGATGTCTCATCTTCCTCGTCGCGAGCAGGGGATTCCTTCAAAGGAGATGCACGTCTCTTCACTAGCGGCTTCGGCGAAGGAGCCGCAGTGCTGGATCGTCCAAAGATCATATTGAGAATCGGCATGTCTTCGAGGTGATCAAGCATACACGATTGCAAAGGTCGGAATGGTTGTAAACCAAGTGGCTGCGGATGCAGACACATATTTCTTGAGATTCAAAATGGGTCAAGTGCAAAAAACACATCACGGATTTGAGGAATTGAAAATGTGCAAAATGAAAAAAA